GGTTCACAAGCAACTTGCTACTTAGAGTGCTTTGGTGCTGAAATGGCATCTGCTTTTGAATTTTCAAGAGGGACAGAACAGTAAAAAATGGTTGATTTAGCCAGTTATAGATACCTTCATTACTGGTTCTAGTAGCAATTCACGTACTCTTGCCCTAAGAAGGGCACACAAGATTTTTTTCACAGTTCAGCATTCCAGGACTATGCTATCTGAAAAGAAGTATTATCAACAATTAACCTTCAATATCATGTATTTGAAGCCGTAAGTATGTTAGTTTGCCAGACTCCATTTCATGTAAAACAATCTCCATCTTGCACTCAGCTATCTGAATCTGTCCCTAAGTTCTCTTAACATCTCTTCCAGACCATGATGTTTGCAGCCACTGCTGTACTCTCAGCAAAATAAAGCAACATCGAGCCACAACAAGAAATTTAACCAAAAATATGTCATCGATTTTTTAAATCACAATTCAATAGTTCTTGAAAGAGAACTTTTTCATTCAAATCCCTCTTATTCATTAGCTGGACTCACTTTTCACTTCAGTTTTCATTTATTTTACAACAGATTAACAAAGAACAGACTTGAACTTCCTGTAAGGTTCACTGTATATTGTCACTGAATCCCATGTACTGTGCTGTCATAACTTCCATTCCCTGGCAAGGGTTCAGTGCAGTGAACTATGCTTGGATGACCTGTTATAAATCATTAACAAGAACTTGCTTGTACAGCCTTTAAGGTCACCTGGAATGAACTGCTTTGGATTTAGCTGATGAATCATTTTCCTCCACATCTCGTAAGGAGAGTTATTGGGTATAAAGACTTTAATGGGGATTGTATGTATTGCTGATGATACTTCTGAAGTTATGGTTACAGTTATACCATCTTGAAGACCTGATCTGTTAAAGAGATCTGTCTGAATACAGAAAAATCAAGGGTTTTGTTTAACTTTCTTTGTATTCACTGGTCCAGATCCTTAATCACTTTAGTTATGCATTGACTCAGTGCACCGTACTGGAAAGCCTAAAGCTGCCTGCCGAATTCCTGGTGCAACTGCATTATTCCTGTAGAAGGAGTGATCACTGATCGTTGTGTGGGATATGAGATCCATATAGGAGATCTTTACAGATACCCTGCTTTGGGCATTGCATGATTACATTTGCTTCTTCCTGATTTACTTTCCCCAACATCAGGAGCCTAAGCTTAGTCACACCAAACCGAAAGAATTTTCAGTTTTCTTCTGTAGATCACAGGACTGCCAAGTATTACTAAATACACTGAAAAATAAAAAAATACAGAAGATGTCTTACAGCTATGATTTTCTTAACCACATCTTGGGTATCATCAGATAATTTGTCCTTCCTTCAAATGATAAGAGGACCACTGGTTTTAGGTCCACTGAGGTGACATGGGGAACTTGCAGGATGATAGAATTATTGCAGAATAAATACAGAAAGTAAAGAAAGCCAATAAGGAACTCAGAATACATGTAGGTATTCAGCAACTAAGGTCAGTTTGCATTTGTAATCTGTGCAATGATTATGACTTAGGGCATGTCTGATAGAAAAATATTATCCTTGCTAATTAGTGTGCTACAGATAGGTTCACGTAGAGAAAGATACTTCATTATTATAATGGAATTTGCAAACAGAAAAACAAAGCATATATGTACCAGATCAGGGCTCCTTTAAGTCTCATTTTGTTTTTAAGTCGACAATTGCATGTATCAGCTATTCCTTCATTCACCGAAACAATCTCCAGGCCTGTATCAGAGGATGTCAGCATTTGTTGCTTCCTTTGAATTCTGAGAAGTATGCATTTAGTTATCTTATGCTGCTCTGGATCTCACATGAGAGGAGCACAAGACCAATATTGCATCACTATCCTCCTTCCTGGAGTTACTTTAACTAATGAACTTGTGGTTCTAATTATTTTGCTGAATTTACTTTACATTAATAGATCTTCTTAGCCTTCACTTAAATTACCTTTTGTTTACAGCATGTAACCAAGTGTTTAAGGCCTCATAAACAAATGGAAATTTGTTTATGTAAGCATTAATTAAACCTCAACAGCCTGTTTTTGTTGCAATTTATTCCACTATAAAGTATGAGTAACTCCACTGAGTTCACAGAGTTACACTGTTATAAAATGAGAAGACATGAGAAGAATCAGCAGAGACTTATGATCTGCCAGTGGACTTTGAATTCCCTGTTTGTGACATCCTTCAGTCACAAGAGCAAAACAGACACTGAAGTCCTAAGGTCTCATGATAGAATTTGTGCTGCATCTGTGTTCTGCCTCTGTCCTCTCATTATGTGCACGTGTTGCAAATCACTACAGCAGACTTTATGAGAATATAATTATTGACAGCCGCATAATTCCATATCCATTTGAGATTTTTTTTTAAGAAATGTATGTTACCAATCTAGATAACAGAAATAACAAACATCAGTTAATTTCCAAAGACACTGGTATTTCTGTGCTGTGATGCTTTCAAAAGTTTGAAACGTCAAAAAAGGGGATAGTTTATGTTTGGTAAGAAGGGAAGGGAGCTGTTATTTCCACCAGGACCATTATTCCCCCCAAATAAGAAAGCGAGTGAGTAGAAACAGGATGATAATTATAAAAATTATTGTTTGAAACTGAAGACTTGTCCAAATTAGAGTTCATAACTGCCTCCTGCAGTGAGATTGGAACATACTCAACAACTAAGAAAATACTTGCAGTGGAAAGCAAAATTAAGATTTAAGATAATTATTTCTTTAGAAGCTATGGACAAAGGGCTACATGAGCCCGTGAATTCAAGGAGGATCAATATAAGAAATGGAATGGTCAGACTTTTAGACTGTAAATTTAACAATTATTAATATCTTTATTCTACTGCTAGGAAAAAAATGTGGAAGTGGATTTTTTTCCACTCAGAGAGGGTAATGCTTCAGACTGAAGTTTAAACACATTTAGGGTTTATACATTTCTAAAAAAGACAGATCTATCTAAACCCACAGCCAACATTGTAATATTCCCTACCACTAGCTTTAAGACAGAGGAACTTTTTTCTTGAGGCAGAACAATCTCAGGTAAGGTGAATGTTATAAAGCAAGATGATTAAGGCTTATCACTATGAATGTAGCTGACCTCTCCTTAATATTATAAAGGTTATAATAAATATAATGTAATATAATAATAAATAATACAATAAATAGTATTTATTGGCACAGTGATAATTGCTAACAACAGATGCTTCTCATCTCTCTCTAAGTGAACCAAGGGTCTGCTGGTGTCCCTGAATACTATATGGAAGGAAATACTAACTTTTCAGTAGTGACCACTGTACATTTCCATCCTCAGTGTGCTTTCCATAGCAAGGTAGCTGTTTTATAAGTTAGCTGCTTCAGCTCAGTTTACTGTGTCTGGACCCTTTATTCTTCCGTACTTGTGAGCTGCTAGTCTGAGCAGCAGTCAGTGGTATTACATACACCTTATAGGCTCAGCATTTGTTAATCAAGACTTGTGCACATCCCTCTCTACAAAGCTGAAAAAGAAACAGGAATGGAATATTGCTCTTTATTTGATAGTATCTCCACCTGTGTGGCAATAATTGGCAAGAGACCAACTGTCAGTCACTACTGAGCTGCATTTTATTCCTCTCCCTATTAATAGATCTGTACCTGCTTCATTTCTTTTTGGCTGCTTCAGTGCTCATTTAGGAATTGAGAGACCCAATGCATACCAAATAATACTTCCAGCCAGCCTCGCAGGGCTTTATTAGCACTGAAAATCAACACCCTATCCTGAGGCAGGAGGCCCAGCAAATAATCTGTCATTTGGAATAGTAAAGGACATCATTGCAGTTATGAGGGCTTGGTTCCAACCCAGCAAAGAATACAAGGATGTGTTTCCCTAACAACATAGGAATGTGAGCACATTCCACCTTTTAAAAAATAATTCAGTCCCAGTCTGATGTCTGTCTGTTTTCTGCATTGTGTCCTCCAAGACTATTGAATAAAACTTCAGATCTTTGACCTTCTTTCCATTGACTTGAGCGTAGGACTGCTACAAGATAAACCACAAGGTCAGCAGTTCCATTTCTCACATGCAACCAGAAGCATAAAGCTCATCTGCGCACGAGACAGTCACAGAACTAAGCAATATAAATCTCACCACCTTAAACTCTGAGGGCACACCAAGTTTTTAAACATTTATTTCTCCATAAACACACATAACATGTACAAGGAAGGAAATAAAACTCAAGCAAACTGCTGAGTCAAAATAAAACATGCCATGCTTAAACAATTCTTTCACTGAGGAAAGAGAGTAAGAAACAGTTTAACCTGAATGTCTGCAGATACCTCAGTGATGATGGTGTTAAGAAAACATAACAGAGTAATACAGAGCGTTAAGTGGCTGTTGCCAGTTGGTAAAGCTTCATGGCTTTCATGCACCTACATTGATTTAAATGGCTGAAGATCTGGGCTTTAACCTTCAACAGAAGTTGATAAACTGGCAGGTTCTACAGAAGTAAGTTTTAAAGATGAGTGATGTAATCAAGAGCAGCTAGGCAAAAGGAGCTCCGTAGTGCACATGTCCTCAGAGAGGGTACAGCATTCTCTAAGGCAAATATCAGATAAAGCATATGAGAGAAAAACCTGCTAGCTCAGCATTTCTGTAACAGTCCAGTACCTTCCCCCTATCACTTTTTGGCCCACGCTCCGCCTCTGACTGTACCACTACCTCCAGCTGACTGGGGTGACTGACAAACTGCATAACCTCATATTCAAAGTTATTATATTAAAAATACCTCGTCATTCTGCACAGTAAATGGTTTCCACTTAGAATTAGTTAATGGAGAAATATTTTGGCTACTTTTGTTGAAGGGGTTTGCTTTGCTTGCAAGGTCATTCAGAATAAGCCCCCTGAACTTTGAACCATATCTGCAAAGTGAGATAAACAAGAGCCATATAAATACCACAGCCCTTTTCCCCACAGTGTTTTCTTCTGCAGTGGAGGTAGGCACGGCTGCCAAGGAGAGGGAGAGGAAAGGGTAAGTGTGCTGGTTTTGCTATGAAAGAGCTTCATGACTTAAGATTTGGCACAGTGTCTGCTTGTTGTTTTGGCTAAAAAGGCTGCCGGTGGAAATTTCTGTTGGAAACCTACTAGAAAGTTGAAATGTGAAGAGAAGTGTAATTCAGAATGTAGCTCTCATCTGCTTCACAGGGTGAAACAGCTGTTGCTGGGTGCTGTATGCCAGTGCTGCAGAAGGCTATAAAGGCATAGAAGGATCTCAAGATATTATAGGAGTTTCATGTGTTTGTAATGGATACAAAGGCAGGCAGCTTTCCACATGTGTGGAAAGAGTAAAAAAATGACCCTGTTGATATCTATTGGACCACAGATTAATCTTCAAAGTACTGTACCTAAAAAGCTTTTGGTGGAATTGCAGGAAAGAAACATTAGGGACAGATGGATTTCACAAATGATGTTGGCTTTGTAGAAGCTGGCTCTTGTTTTAAAAGACCAATTATTAAAATTATAAATTTTTTTTAGAATATGACAAGATCGATTGAAACCCGTGTTATTTATCAGTATTTAGTGTTTCCAAAACATTCTCTGTTTACTGTCAGACTTTAATGCGAGTGGTAAAATGATACAATTCCACAACCTAGTACAAATCAGGGAACAGTTCTATAATTTTACATATTTCCTAATAATAGGTGTTTTCTAAACATATTAAGCCAAAATTATTGTGTTAATGGAATAAAAGGAAAAGATAATTACCATATTTCTCGTATGCTTTGATTTTCCTAAACATTAAAGGGACTAAATTTAGATAGGAGATCTTGTAAGATCTGAGGAATCCTGAAAGTCAGTTTTCATCTCCTGTTTTTGCAGAATTGTTTGTAGTGCCTGTGTTATTAACAGATTTTTCTCAGTGGGATCCAAATACTACAGACTAACTGACTTGTAAAAATCTTTAAGTCTTTTTTTAATTTCTGCAAGGTTCTGTAATACTTGCTGTGTAGCAAAATACACTGTTGGTGCAAGTACTTTTAAGTCAGTAGAATTACTCTGGAACCTGGAGTGAACTTGTGTAGATTCTAACTGGTATAAACTGGCTCAGCACAACTGATTTCAAAACACAAACAATTAGGCTACTTTAAAATCACTGAAGTGTTAAAAACAGTCAAGAAGAAATTACAAAGAGGAAGGAACAATGTAGCCTGTTTAGTAGCATTAAAAGAAAATCCAGTTATTCTGAACACTTACTTTTCAGCTGTTTACATACAACCACAAAAAAATACTGCCTATTTATTATAGGGGAACTCCACTGCAAAATGAAAGAAACATGATCAAGCAGTAAACAAAGTAGCTCAAATTTTCTTACAGTTTTTTTTTTTAAACTGAATGGAGTCAATATCCTGCTGTGTTTTGTTATAGGAATTTCAGAGTCTGAACTTCATTTAGGCATTGATCTCATTTTGTTTATTTTCTCTCTTTTCAGATAAAGCCCAGCCATGTGGGCAGGGCTGGGGCTAGTTCTGGCTCTTTGTCTCCTCCCAGGAGGAGGGACAGAGATCCAGAACTGCAAGGAGGCCCCAGAATGGCGTATTGGGGAGGAGAACCCAATGCTGAACTCTAGGGGCTCAGTGACAGTGGTGGCTCTCCTCCAAGCTAGCTGATACTTGTGCCTGCTGCAGGCTTCCAGGTAAGCATAAATCTCTTCCCCAGTTTTTGTTAAAACATGACTGGGCAATTTTTTAATGCCATCTGAGGATAATACATATGCCCAGCTACACATGCACTCAGTGAACTCTAGCTTCCTCAAATGCTGCCATCCCAGCTGGCATGTGTGACCCAGTGACCAGGTTAACTCTTAGCAGGTGTGTTCTGTGCCAGTGGCTCAGATTCTTTATCTCTTGATAGTCCTGACTGACAGATCATCTTCTCCAGATTGTATTTACAACATAAAAGTATGATCAACTTGACATTAATGAAACCCAAACCACGTGAAAACCCAACAGAAACAGTGCCTCAAGACTATGCTTCAGTTAGCAACAGATGATTAATGTAGCAAAGATGCTGAAGCCAAGAAACTTCATAATTCTCTGGCATGGCTAGAACACCTGAAACAGAGAGATCCGTGATCACTCATTTCTTACGTAAGATCTGTAGGAGAAAAGGCAAATCAAAACATGTGCTTTTAATGTACTTTCCAGTCCCTGTTCAGAGGTCCTAGAAACAAAAAAAAAAATCCAGAAGGCAAGGTAAAGACTGGCCTTTCAAAAAATAGATGAAGCATTTAGGGGAATCATTAGCGTTATCTTTTCATATAAGACCTGGGTCAAATAATTAGGTATCATGACAGTAACAGCAGCAAGAAAAAAAATTTTGAGCTGACCCAAACAGAAACTGCATGCAGCCCTTATCTTGGATTCACTTAGTGATTATGAAAGCATTTTGGTTTAAAAATTCATAGTACCGGTTTCAGAGCTTGATTTTATCACTGTAATAACATCTTAGTTTCCCCCTCTAGGCTGCATAACTTCATATTATAATAGTCTTTGCAAGTTTTTTAAGAACTAGATTTGAAAAAGTGGTGGTAAATCTCTGGCTCCATCAAAGTAAAAAGCAGGCTTTGTGCTTGGCTTTCAAAGTTGTTGGGTTTGATTCTGTACCTTTTAGAAAGGTCTTAAAGAATCTTTTAAGCTCTAGACTGTTTCTCCTGAAATGGGGGGGAAAAATGTTTTCTAAAGGGATTTAATAGGAAGGATACAAATGAAAAGGAAAAAAACCCCACATCATACAGCGAGAAAGCAGCTTTCTGTACTAGAGAACAGAGAAGGACTTTTGTGATGGGATGCTGAAGGGAAAGACGAATAACTTCCAGACAGGTCATGCACACATTCTATAGCCATCCTTTTGACCCAGTTGCTGTAATATCCCTTTTCTGGCTGTTATAGAAAATAGCCATGTCAAGATGAGTGGGAGAGCTATCGGCTTTTTACTGCAGGTTTGCTTTCTTGATTAATCATCTTCCTGCTGTATTTACAGTATGCATTCTTTAACCAACTATGTGACCAAAACCTCAGCATTTAAATAAAGACATCAGATAAACAAACTGTCTTAGACCATGAAGAGCATGAAAGAACTAAAATAACACTGAATTCAGTCTGAAAACAGAGGTCTGCTTTGCTTAGTACTGCATTCTACTTACAAGGACAGGACCCATGGCATATTAACTATTGAGTCTGGTTTGGTGACAGTATAGTTGATAGTGGTAGCAAATGGCAAGAATGTTTTAATAGTGTTAGATTTTTGCTGTTAAAACTGGGAGAAAGTAACATTCACTGTAATAACAGCAAGATGGAGAATATTAGCTTTTGTTGAACATTGCAAATCTCAAGATTCTCTGATGATTTATGGTCTTGTTTCTTTACATTCTTGACTAGATTGGAGGACCTGCGAGTGAAGTTAGAGAATGAAGGACTGGTCAATATCTGGTATATGGTTGTCAACCATAAGGGAACTTATTCCCAGAGGAAATTTCACCTTCTGAAAGAAAGTGTTTCAGACCATATTACTGTCTACCAGCAAGATGAAGAGCAAGCTGATGTCTGGACTACCTTAAATGGAAACAAAGATGACTTTCTCATCTATGACAGGTCTGTGTTTAGGGGGGAACACAGGAAAATATTTGCATGTATTTAGAGTAGTGCTTTGTAAATCTCTGTATTATTTCATTGATTTTCAAATAACCTGATTACCTCACAACCAAGACATCATAATCAACTGGGAAGTTGCACTAAGTAAAGTACTTGCATTTACTGGAAAAAGGAAGGAAGCTACAAAAGAAAAGTCTGCTTTTGCTTAAGGAAGTTTGGGATAAATAAATTTTTCTTTATAATTACTGTGGATTTAGAGTAATGTAACTAAGCGTAGAATTTGATAGCATGATTCTGGTCTAACACTGTTTTTATTTTCAGACAACTTCATTACAACCACGCACATGAAAGTAGAATCAAATGAAAAAAATCTATCTGAGTTCTCATGAAAACATTTTGACCAGAGGTTGTTGAAAATGTCATGTAGCCATATGGAAAAATTAGTCCTTAGGTGAAACTTTAAACTTTGGAAGAAAATAGCTTTGTGATCATAGGATTCTGGGATATGTATCTTTTGGCCGAACCAGTAATAACCCTTTAGTTGAAATCCTGATTTTTTTCAGTTTTGATATGATAGAAATTATTTGACAAGTCCTGCACTTCTAAAATGTCCATCCTAATTACTATTATGTTACTGTAACGAACATTCTCAGTTCATACTGAAGCATAATTAAGTTTAATAAACAATTAGAAAGTTCCTTTTTTTTTGGTAATCTGATGAAATGGAATGAATTAGCTAAATTAGGCTTGTGGGATGAAACTAGCACTGGAATGATCTTTAGAAAGTGATTGCATGTTACAGCAGCAAATACGCCTAACTATGGAAGGTTGCTGTTGTATGACAGACAAACAGAACAAAGCTGTATGTAGCCCGTGGAGTGGCCCCAAAGCTGACGCCTGGCTCATGGCATTTGAAAGGTTGAACAGTTTTGTGCTGTCGACACATAGGGTACACCTATACTATGAATTGGTTTGGCATTAGTTTGGCCATGATCCATCTGTGGTTCAAGGAATGTATGTCCTTATTGTGCCTTTATTGGCATTGAAGTCTTTGCCTGTTGCTGGTCCTAGACCTGCACTGCAGATGTATACAGAGCTAAGGCTGGAGGACCGTGTGTTGACATTGCAGGTGGGATACTTAACGAGGTGCCCTTGTGTACGAGTTCTGCATTTACTCCATCTCCTTTAAATGTACCAGTTGTGTAGTCAAGTGCATACCAGAACACTCAAGTACAGACATGGGGCAAAGAGGCACCATAAAAATCCCCTCATACACACTAAATCAGTAATGCAAATGCACCACAATGCACATTGCAGTCAAAATACATGTTACGTTGCATAAAAACATTTTTTGTAAGGATACAACAACCATGTGGCAATTTGTCCCACTATGCATTGTGGTACAAATGAGCCCCCCTCATTAGCAAGATAGGTCTGTCATGAGTGTACCTTTGCTAGTCTAAATGCCACTAAACTAGAGGCCAGTAGTGTTACTACATTGGCCAGAAATCACGCTTCACAGTACTGTCCAATGCAGTTGAGAGGGCAAATGTTTGTAAGGCAGATACTGGTTTTGGCTGTAAACTCCTTGGACAGAAACACTCTCCATGGGACTGTACCATGTGGGTGGATTGACATGAATGAAATAAGGTATGATAAGAAAAGATACTTAATTTTAGGTATATGTTTATATATATGGAGCCACAAAGTTCTTTCTCTCCTTAGATGCGGCCGTCTAGTGTATCACCTGGGTCTGCCCTATTCCTTCCTGTCCTTCCAATATGTAGAAGAATCTATTAAGATTGCATACTGTGAAAACAAGTGTGGAAACTGCTCTTACACGGTATTTTCTTGTTTAATCCTGTATATACTAGGAAAGGAAATTGGATTTGACTGGTACTTAACTATTCCAGTGTGATTAATCCAAAAAGACGTGATTTAGAATTTACACATTTCATGTGTCTTGATAGAGAGCTTTTAAACATTTTTCAAAGTGAGTTATAATTTATAATAGACTGTTTATCTGAATTTGTGCCCTTGATAGAAATGCAAATCATTTTCAGAAATCTAAATGCAATCTTGGAGGCTAATTCTGTTTCTGAAGTTATGTACAGTTAGTGAGCAATTAGCTACTCTAGTTTTTGGGGACAGGTAGGTACTTCAACAAATAGTAATTTTTTTTAAGACCTGGGAATCAAATCTGAGCTGCTTTGAGTTACTATTCCTTTTAGTTTACATTTAAACACAGCATACAAGAGTTACTTTAAAAAAGTGATAATACAAGCTGACAAATTATTGTTACTGTTATAAAAGAAGGGTAGCTTTGTTTTACATGTAACTAAAGATCAGAACTACTTTAAGGATTATCAAGAAATGTACATACGTAGTTATGAAACTTCAATGAGAAGAATAATTTTTGATCCCATCATACAGTTTTCCAGCTAAATGGAGACCTCGGGCAGGTCAGACATGGGATCCTAGAAAAAGAATACTTTTTATTAGCAATTACTTGAATTATAATTCTTAAAAGTTTACATTAAGAGCCCTGTCTAGTTATTAGTAGTGTTGTAAAACAATGTTCTTTTTGATACATTCATATCTCTCTTCAGCGAAGTAGCCCAAATAATTTAAAATTGGGTTTCATGTTCTGCAAAAATGTTAAGATAATTGATGTTTTACAACTAGTTTAATTAAATAGAATGCCTTATATTTAATGCAGAGTTCTGTTTTGCAGGAACCTGATATTGGTGGTATATGTGAAAATATCACTAAAAAAGCAGAGGAAAAGCTAGCAGAGCTAGAACCCAAACCAACTGGTCAACATTCACATCACCACAACCTCCACAGACATAGACAGCAGCACCACCATCGCGACGGCAGTCGTCATTCCAAAAATGAGAACCATCAGGCTCCTTCTGAAACTCAAAGACATCATCCTCACAGCGGTCGGCGTCATAGAGTCTTTGGCCATAACAGACATGATCAGACAGGTAGTCATGCACAGGTAGACACTGTTCCTCAAGGAGAAAGTGTGGAAATTACACAAGATAAAAAGCTATGAAAAAAAGGGAAAAGCAGCTGTAAAAACCAGTTAACTTGAAACTGGCAGACAGCATCAGACTCAACTTCTAGTAGCTGATGCTGTCATTGTCGACACCTTTTGTTTGAAGAGCTAGGAAATTCTGTCACTTGACAGTGTCGTGGAGCACTTCCAAATTCTTGCAGGTGACATGGCCAACTGTCAGCAGAGGACATCACTGAATCTTGACAGTGACGTCTGCTGACTGCTGCCTGACAGTCACCAGCAGCAGGAGCAAGTGAAACTAGTGACACCTGACAGTGACAGGAAAAGGCAAGAAACTGAGCCTGAAAAACAAACTAAGCACCTTAAAAATGCAAGGGAGTCCTACTACCTAAATTCATATAGTTGCAAGAGTGAAAAAATGATCAGATTAAGTGGTTTTATTGCCCCCAATTACATATTATACTGACAGGTGTGTAGAGTTAAAATATTGCAAAGAACTAGACTTTTAGAGCAGTGCTGTTAGAATTACACAATACCTGTCAAATTCCATCAGTGAAAAGCTTCATAATTTAGAGGAATTTAATTGACCTGTAGTTTGTTTTTCAGTTGCACTGGGAAGGTGTCGGCATTCTTGATTAATTTGTCTGTCTTGTTTCTCTTCTAACATTCTGCTTGCATTTGTGAGGGCAGGAGCATAAACTATGACCTAGGGGCTCCTGTCTGATGTTTTGCAATCAAGAATAGAAGACAACCAAACCAGATATTTTAATCATTTTTTATTAAGAAGATGGGATGTATTCAAAAGTTGGGGTTTTTTTTCCTAACCTAGGGATACAAATTATGTACAAGAAAAGCTTATTCCAAAGCAACGTGCCAAGATAACTTTTTATCTCAAATGTAAGATACAAGCAGTAATTGCATTATTTTAAAGTAACAGATTTATATACTTAACTTTTGTGGCTTAGATACAGTATCAGGGCCCATTAATACATACTACTACAGCTTGTAACATCCCACTAAATCAGTAAGATTGTGCCTAAAGTGAGAAACAGCGTTAACAACTCTCCATGCAGAATCAGTATCAGTATCAAAAAGAGGGAGGGGCAGAACAAATTCATCTTGGTTTAATGTTTATCTTTGTTTATAACAGTGTTGAATGTGATAAATCTCTATGGATTAGTAAGATAAAATACCACTTAAACTTTTGTAACTTCTCTGTAGCTTAGCATTCCTAACCTTTGATTAACTGAGTTGAAGTAAAAATATAGTTGTTCGAAGGATTCCTACGTGAAGAAGAGAACATTTAAGAAAGGAAAACTGCTTTGAAAGTGTACACCATAATTAATGATGGTTTAATAGGGAAATTATTACTCCTACGAAACCTGAATCTTTTTATTGTGAATGCTGATTAGCAAGAAAGTAGTCATGAATATACACAGAATGCATGCCTTTGGAATATTTGACAAGACTGTTTTCAATAAAAAATATTCCATATTTCTTCATATCTTGGTTTTACTTTCAGGTGCCCAGCTTGAAATACACTGTTTCTATTTCTCATAGTATCTACTACTGAAATACTTCATGTGATCTACTCAAAATCGCCTCCGTTTGACGTGCAGGTTCTGGCCTTTATTAAGACGTTGCTCTAAGTCTTTTATGGTGTTTTGGAGAATTTCAATTTCCTTGTTTTTCTCCTCCTGGAGATGCTGGAGCTTCTGTAAAAAATGCAAGCAAAGGCACCATTGTTAAACATCACATAGAATTATGTACCAATACAACATGTTATTACTAATGAGAAATACTCTAATAAGGATATTTTTCTCAGTATTTTGTTATCACAAAATTACAAAGATGACTTCCCCAGAATCCTATTTTTGTGACATCCCAAAGTCCCAAGCCTGCAAAACCAATAATGCACATATATAATTTATATCACAGTCATTTATGTCAGTTCTATCTTAAGTTCCCAGGTTAACTAAAACTGTACTAAAACCACTTCACATGTGGGCTTTTGTTGTTGTGAACCCCAGCTATCACAACATCAGTGCAAAGAGACATGAAATTAGTTGTCTAAAGGTGGGAGGGGTGTGTGGGAGAGTAAGATGGACCCCTAACGCATGAAACTCCACCCCCCTACACTCCTCCATTCCCAAAGTCTTGTTGCAGAACAGACACAGTAGATCACCAGGGAAGTGCTGTGTCAAACAGGTTGTAACAGTATTTAGTATCTGCAGACTACAGCCTATTAAAGCACATACCCTTCGATAGATACTTTGTGGCAAGACAGAAGCCTCTGAATATGATTTTGTTGCTTTATTCTGAACTCTTGCTAATTTAGCATTGAACTAAAAGAATTGGGAAAAGACAAAACATTAAGAATCAACAGGGAAAAAAGTATGTTAAATAATACAAGTATAATTTTAACTTTTTTAAAATTGGATTTTGTACCCAAAAGTAGCAATAGCAAGCTTTTCTACGATTTAATCCTAGGATAATGAAGCTACTTAAGTTTATTTTCAAAAGTTATGTTTCTTAAAAAAATGCCTCAAAATATTGCAATAAGTAAATAGTAGATATATGATAAACCAAATACATTTAGACAAACAGGATAATTACTAAAAAAAAATATTTGAAGTCTCCACAGCTGCATGTGTGCAGGAGGGAAAAATGCAGAGGATGCTAAAAACCTCTGAAACTGTCGCCCTTCCCTCACGTTCCAAGAGCAACTCAGCCTGAGCACTTTCACACCTTACTTATTTTATAATATGTGAAAGGTTCAAAGTATTTCCTTAATTGTTTCTGTAATGATAGTGGCTTAAAACCTGAGCTGTGAAATATATGTTGAATTCTGTGACTCAAATATCTGCAGGATTAAAAGTCTTTAAGCTCTTGGAAGTTTGTAAAAAAATGTATCTTCCTAGCATTCAGAAATTGAATAAAAATAAGCAGAAAACATAGTTTTGGGTTTTTTTTTTATAGCTCAAAAATTAGCAAAGTTTTCAAAATAATTTACTTTAAAACAAGAACACAGCAAACTTCAGTCTCTCTATACAGTAGGTAGAACTTGATTCCTGAGCTGAAGTGACTCATACCATTGTGGAAGGGAGCACATGCCACTGATCTTTGTTAAGACAATAGTTTTTTTAAGTTCCCTAGATTCTATCATATTACTTTGTTAAGTAGTAATTAACATTTTTCACTACACAGTCTCTTCTAAATTTACCCAATGCCCAACTGATCTTTAATTCAGCTTTGTAATGCATACCTCTACCTGCAGTTTAATTATTTCATTCTGCTTCTCTTCATTTTGAATTTTCAGCTGTCTAGTTAACTCTAATATTTTCAGTTCTTTTTTCTCTCTCTGTTCTTTATACTCCACTTCTTTTACTTCAACTAGTAACACAGTAACACCAAATACAATGATTATAGGAGATGTTTATATAGAAAAATTACATAATTTTCCAAATATTAAAACTTTCTTGAACAGCAGGCCAATATTTCACAGGAAAAAAATTTCATTCAAGCAAAAAACATACTTTAAAACTATGTGAAAACCACCCTGTCTCATCCCAGTAGGATGGAGTCTCTTTAAAGAAGCATCACCTTTTACAAAGAGTTTGGCTTTTTTCAGCTAAATGGATGACCAAAAAATCCTACTCTTCAAGGCTATGCCAGTAATGGAAAAAATTAATACTGAAATCAGTCCTTTCTTGTTGCAGTATTATTTATTTGTGAAAATAACATCCTGCTCTCCTGAACATAGCTGGAACACTCTAACAGCAGTCTAGCTTATAGTTCAAAGCAATTTTCCAGTCAACATTTAACCCAAAATTTCATTCCTTCAGATTTTTAGGTCCAAGTACCCGGTGTCTGTTCTACCTATTTGGGAATTTCTGCTCATCCTGTGTTGCTATACTATTGCCTCATTGCCACTGTCTACTCTCTTGAGCAAAGACAAAATTCGGTTAAACACTGTCCACTTCTGGCTTTCGTATGTTTCCACTAGGAAGTGGAACTTGTACTTACCCTAGATGAGGTATAGCTCCTACAAGTTACAACATGTTTTACCCAATGGTATAGCATTCAGTCTTCAGAGAACTTACATTTTTTTCTTATATCGCAATTCAACTGTGTTATTTCTAATTTGTGGTCTTCCTCTTTGTTTTTAATTGCTATCATAAGTTTCTCAATCTGATCTTTATATTCCTGTAAATGTAAAAAGCTTCATAAAAATCTTGAGGTGTCTGTGCTTTTAGCCTTCTGCAAAGCACAGCACTGATGTAAAAATGCACTTGTTTTATCCTCTATGTAATAAATTCAAAATGCCCAATTACTTCTAACACAATCTGGCTGAAGTCCACAGATGAAAAATGTAGCAGATTTCATTGTATTACAGCTATCAGTTAATATAAAATTAGAAATTGTACTTACTAGGAGAACAGGCAAATGGAGAGGTAATATTCTTCTCCCCAGTCCTGGATCTGATACAATGCTGCAGCTAGTTAAGTGACTACAGTTTTACTTTTGTGGATTTTTGACTGTAAGATTGTATAACAAAAATATATTTAAAGTATGAATTTTGTTAATATTGCTTATACCAAGGATTCCACCACTTCATACTGGCAGCAGTAGAAACATCAGTGATTTCAGCACTAGTGATGCTGGTGGCATTGATACTCAAATGAAGAGTTTGAGCACACCTATTTTAAATTTGCTCCAATAACTACTCCAGAATTACCAAGGAATTGGCTGTAGCTGCCAATGTAGAGGTGCTTACTCCAAAGCCCTTGTCAGAGCCTTCTGACAAGGTAGGTAGCCACTCACCAGAGCAATGCTCGGAGGCACTCACAAAGGCAGTTACTGATTGGTGGTAACAGTATATAATGGACATAGTCAAATAAGTGCCTTCAGAACAACACTAGGAAGTTCCACTATGTCCATACATGTATATAATGTATAGAACCATAGTTTTCTCATGTCATTCAGAAGGCATTACTTATTTCATTCTCAAACCGTCAAGATAACAGCTCTATTGGTATAAAAATTTTATTTTAATTCATAGATAGTACAAACACAGGCAAAGAAAATCAGCAGTGAGATTCCTAAGCCTATACAGGTAACAGATCTGCAATCTTAGCACAGAGAACAAACACAGCTTGTGACTAGCCCTGCTGGTGTTACCTCCTTTCCAAAAATGAGTGGTGTAGGTAAAAAGTAGAAAGATAGTAAATGAAATTTATTTTGAGCATTTACTCCCAAAGAAACTATAGACAAAATTCAGACAGTTCTTGATTCTCTGGCAGGACAGCAGGGACTGTGAATATCAAAACCTTATTTCCACACAAAAATGTATTTTA